CTTCCACCGCGCCTAAGTGGTGGTCATCCCTAAACTGCACAAGGAAGATCGCACCAATCCTGCCAATTGGCGACCGATTTCGCTTCTCCCAGTTCTCGGGAAAGGGCTGGAACGCCTCCTTGCGAGACGATTTGCCTTCTGGGCCTTGTCAAATCGAATATTCTCCCTGATGCATTTTGGAGCACTACCCGGAAGGTCTGCCATGGATCTCGTGGGATTTTTGGTTCACGATGTCGAAAAAGCGTGGTAGGCAAAGCAGGTGTGCACTCTCGCCACACTCGATATCCAAAGTGCTTTCGATAGTATTCAGCCTAGCCGTCTCCGCGTTCGTCTTCGCGAATAGAGATGGCTTTTACCATACGTGAATTCGGCTGATTCCTTTGCTTCTTGCAGGAAGGCTCGTCTCAGAGTGGATGATTTTGTAGGTGACTTCTTAGATATTCCGCATGGCTTGCCCCAAGGATCCCCTGCTTCCCCTATATTGTTTCTCCTCTTTCTCGAGCCAATATTTAAACTCGGGTTTCCTACATTTGGATACGTAGAAATCCTCTCAGTCGCAAAAACTCTTGCCAATACTTCTCATCTTACCACCAACAGGGTTGGAAGCATCACCTGTTGGTGCGAACAGAATGGACTCTCTGGCAGAAAACAAGACCGAAATTCTTCATCTTCATAGATCTCGTCAACCTTCTCCTCTGGTCATCATCAATGGCATCCCAAGAAATACAAACTCTACTCTAAGATGGCTAGGTGTCTTCCTCGACACCAAGCTCTCTTTCAAACAACATGTTCAAGAATAAAGTATTAAAACGCAACAGATTAGCGCCCATGTACGACAGCTTGGAAATACCAACCGTTGTGTACCAACAACTTTTCTGCGCACTGCAGCCCTAGCTGCGGCGCTACCGATCCTCTTATATGGTGCTGAGGTCTGGTGGCGCGGTCACACTTATCTCCGCCGAGGACGTTCAACTTCAACCCGATCTCAACACCTAGTAGACATGATCTCTCGAGCTCTAGTCAACCTAGCCAGAGCAATTCTACCAGTATACAGAACAACTCCTACTGCTGCACTTCTGAGAGAGATGTGGCTCAAGCCAGCTCATATTCTACTTGAGGAGATACGCCTCCGCTCCGCTGTTAGGCTAGCTGCCGCGGACATCTTTCACCCTTCGGTCAGAAGATTAAAACTTGATAAAAGTTATATAGGTGTTTTTTTTTTTTTTTAAATCATTAAGTGTATGCAGCCTATCTAGCTATGACACTTTATATAGGTGTTGTACATCTGCACTAAGCGTGCGTCAGGCATCAACATGTTCTGGGTAAATAGTGAATGGAAAAACCGAGCACGTGATATAATCTCAATGTATGTAGTGCTGAGTAATTTTTTCATTAGGTAGAAACAAGGTATCAATTTGTAATTACATGAAATACAGTTCCGCCTTTATTCTGACACAATTGATCATATTGACTAAATGCGTTACAATTTGTCATAACTAAATTTTAAAAGACCCTTGTTGTAATAAAATAGTTCTGCATCAGTATCGATGCAGGATCTCTATCTGTGCACTACTACATGTAACTATTAATTCACTTGTAACTAGATTCCATGTTTTATGTAGTCACGTCTGTTTCTTGTCTTGGTCGCGGGGGTTCACTAAAACACAAGGCCAAAAACATCATTTGGATAACGTTGTCAAGTTGAGACATTGGCACGTGCCTCATCAATCCCCCAACTTTCGTCATACCAAGTTTGATTCCTTTATATAGATGTAGTCTCTCTTACCTCCAAAGATCTTCAGTTCATTGTATTAACTGAATATCTCTGAAGGCTATGTTCATCTCTCCTCTCGTCAACTCCACAGTTTTACATTTAAAGCCCCGTTCACCTGTTCCTTTGCTCGAATACCACTCTTCCTTCCTCTCCTACAGCCCAAAATCCCTCTCGATATTTAACCTCACAATAACCCTCACGTACAATCTCGCCTCACAGAAAAATTGAAGCTCGTTTCGCCCTTCCGCCGCCCTCGGCTCTTACCTCCCTCTTTAAAAGCTCCGCTTAATTGTACTCGAGCAAACTTTTCCGTCCTAGAAGTTTCCGAGCGTATCAGTGCACTACCACCATTGAATATCCTTGTCTTCTCGGACGGCTCAAAGCAAAGCTATGGGTCCGCTGGAGCAGGTACCATCGTTCTCCATAAAGACATCACTGTAGCTTAAGTGAGGGTGCCTCTCGGCCCCGATTTCGAGGTCTATGACTCCAAAATTATCGGCGCCCTGGCAGGGCTTAAGGCCGCTGTAGTTGCCCCTTCAACTTATCTCGCAACCAACATCCACGTCATCCTAGACAATCAAGAGGCAGCGCAACGCCTTCTCAATTATTCGCCATCTAAATCCTCGCAAATGGAAATTCTAGAATTTGGAGATCTCGCATCTAGCTGGCCTACGAGGAGAATTCTGCCTATCGGATCTCCTGGCAAATTCCAAGTTATGTGGTCTCCCGGTCACATAGGTATTCCAGGCATTGAGCTGGCCGAGAAACTGTCCGGAGTCCGCGCAAAGATTAACAGGCAAATATGGGACTTGACCACGGAGCATGCTGGCAATCTTATGCTCCCTCTACCTATTGTGAGTTAGGGATGCCATTTCCCAAGAAGCCTCCTGAGGAACTTCAACTCCCTCGCCGATATCTCGGGTATTTAATCCAATGCCGCACTGAACATGGTGACTTTCGTGCTTATCACGAAAGGTTTCATCATCTTGATGCCCTTCTGACTTGTTCCTGCGGAGCTAACAAGTCAATCACTCATTTCGTATTTTGCTCCATTGTGCGAGAGAGACTGGCTTCGGCCGGCTATCGACGAAGTATGGGCTCACCCAATTTTCTTCTAAGCACCTCCCCAGGAGCAAAGCGTTTCGCCACCACTTTGGAGAAGGTTAGATTCCTGTCAGAAATCTGCCCACTCAGTAACATGTGAGGTATTCTTGTGAGGTACCCGCTGCATAGCGCTCGCAGTCTCTAAATGTATTTTCATGGCCTCTGCCACTGCAAATCACGTTTTGAATTACTTAGTAGTTACCATGTCCCCTCAGGGATGGGGCTTTAGTTGTAACTAGTGCCCGGTAGACATAAAGAATGAATAAATAGATAGCTTTACCACAGCGCCAACTGGCCTAAAAAGGAACGTGTAAAGATCTGTGTATTTTATGGCTTTTTTACTGTATATTGTAGACTTGTGAGCTCACACAGAGCGTCACAACTAGTCTCTAGAGGCACTCTGCACAGGAAATGTTTTCCACTTCAGCTCTGACCACCTTTCCCTCTATGAGTAATTCATGACTAGCCCAAAGCTCCTTCCTGATTAGTTTCAGTGTTAAGTTTACTCCAAGCAGATTGGGGTACTGTATGCAAGAGCATTCCTACATCCATCCGCCGAAACAAGAGCCCAAGATACGCTGGGATGAGAATTATGTGCCCTGTGGAGCTGGGCCTAGTATAGCCCGAGGTGGCAATAGAAAATGTAGTTAGGGGACTTTTCTTCTTCGCATGTGCAGTTTAGAATGGCGTTTTCGTGCTGAAAGCGTCGGTGGTAGTCCGCGAAGTCGCCGTGAGCAGACCTTTTTTTTTTGCAATAGATTTTAATTGCGTATACAGCTATCTAGCCATGACAAAATATTAAAGAAAAATACAGAAAAGATGATTCAATTTACAAGAAGAGCACTCATGCCGCGGATTTTATTTGCGAGTACCACTGCGATGTTATGGTAGCTTTTTCTTCACCCCAAGTCAACCCTCATCCGTGAATACCCACCCAGGGGAATGTCTCAAAAGCCCTGAGTTATCCATACATACCTCCATCATCTTCTTCCTAAGTGGAGTTAGGTGCCCAGGCTACTCAAACTACACCAGAGAACACCACTAGGAGGCGGACCACGGCACCTTCCATCCTCTGCATATATTTATAGTGTCAGCTGCACTCCTGCAAGCGAAGTCTTGGCGCGCACAAAGCCCAATTCGTAAATCTCCTTGCCAAAATTCGAAATTTCACGCCCGTCGAGAATGTATCCCTCTTTCGCATCATCTTGTAAACTTGTCCTGATCCCTCTCACGTCCATCCCAAAGAACTATCTCCCAGATTTGTGCGCCACACTTTGCTTCCTCTGTCGGGTATAAATATCGGCGTGGGCGTGTACTTGGCGACTAGCTGAGGCCAGAGAATAGTCGATAAGAGGTGCGGGCATTAAAATTAGGATGTACTCGGTCATACTTGCAGACTTGATGAAGCCTAGATAGGAATCGATCTCTTTGGGTGTTCAACATTGAGAAGATAGGTAATCTTGAATCATTGCCTCGTGGAACAACTTCTTTGGTATTGCAAAATTTGTCTGACCTCGGCTCTGGGAGAATTTTCACTCCCAAGTTCATTAGAGGACATCGCGTACATTTGTTCAGTCCTGCTCTCCTTCTGAAAGGGTTATATCGTAAGTATGGGAGAAGAGTTTTTAAAATTGAGCGTCATGCGCTGCACGGATTCGATTTCTGGGGAGCAGGCTAGACTATTAATACAGCAATGGTTTGACGGTCCAGTGGTGCATCATCTAGGCTGTTCTTTCACCTAGAGTCTTGGTGGGTTAGACAACTTTCTAACTTGATGCAAGGGATTGTTTGTTCGAAATTAGCAAGCCTTGATCATATTTCCCGCGATGTTAATACGCATGAATGATGAAGGCATTTCTGACGACCATAACTTTTGAAACTTACCTTTGGTAGGTGCTAGTGGGGAAAGTTCGACTTTTCTTTGGTGACGAATAGTTTTCGTAGCAATATCTTCGAATGAAAGCCAGAATTGATGTGAATCACTAAGTTGAAGAGGTCTTTTTACATGTCAAGCATAACTTCGGTCATATGCTCCGGCTAGACATCTTCGCACATATTAAATTATCCAAAAACTACCCCTGTCCGACCTACACCTTTGGGTTAACCGAATCTGATGTGATAAATGCCGTTAAAACGAATATCAAGTTACAAATCGAAATCTCATATATCACATCAAGTCATGTCGGCCTCCTGTATATTTTGCAAGATAATAAAAGGTATGTCCGTATTCAGATAACAGCAAACATCCTGGGCAATGGCTAGCTAAAATATTACAACGCTAACCACACCCCACCCACCAAGGTGATGTGCCATCATTTAAACTCTTCGAATCAGACAAGGTCTTAGCTTTCTTAGACATCAACCCTTTATCGCGGGGTCATGCCGTAATTTCTCTGATTCCTGCACAGCATCCTGTTCATCACTGATTTGTGAAAAGTTGGTCGTCCCTAAGTTTCACGGTGAGAAGCTTACCGACATTCCTGATGATTATTTGAAAGAGATTCTGGTATGATGACATGAATGGTGACCCTTTTAGATAGGAATTGACGCACTCCAGCCTGTGGTAAAGAAACTTGTAGTAGCGACAGGCGCAGAGAGCTGGAATGTTTTACAAAACAACGGCAGTATAGCTCACCAGGAAGTCGATCATGTAAGTAGATTCAAAACTCGTGTTGAAATCACGATTTCATGAGTGACTAACTTACGTTATGCCTGGTGGCATCATAGGTTCATTTCCACATGGTACGAACAGAAATAAAACCCATAAATTTATTGAACTATCTAAAAGTTGAACAGATACCCAAACCTAATACATCCGAGGGCCTGTCTATCGGCTGGCCTCAACAGAAAATGGATCTAGAAGTCATGAAGAATGTCTTTGCTGAGATCAAGCTGAAGATGTAAGCAAAAGAGTACGCCACGCTGCTCCTGGCGCAAGGGCCACTTTTAGCGGGTGTGTAGAAAACAGCACCAATCTTAATAGCAAATTACAAAAAACGATTTCAAATTTGATCTCCGTACCACAACAAGAAATTATCTGAAATTATCTTTCTAATCTTTTATTTCAGTTTGAGAAGATAGTTTCCAACCGATTGATCAATATCACTACCTTTTAATCTATATTTCGTGATTTTCGCCGTTTTATATAGTGCTGCTTAGCTCGTATTCTCTGTCGGATAGTGCTGGATACGACCCCCCGCGCTTATTATACCTACACGATCATAGTACGATCTCGCTCTTATGTAAGGATCGAGCTTCCAATAGTTATCTCTTAGTGAGTTAGCTACTTCTTGGCGTTTTATATTAATAGAAGATGACTCGGCATCCCGAGCATTAATCCACTCCTGCGTAATCTTTTCGAACTCTTTAGCAATTTCTTCTCGTTCACATAACAACTTGTCTCGGGTCTCAGTTTCTTTCATCATATCGTTTTCTCCGGGCACAGGTTCCACATATTTATACTCCCAATCTTCATCACCACCAATTTCTTTAATGATCTTTGATCGGTCAACGAACTCTTCCATTTCTTCTACTGAATTTGTAAAGTGAACTTTGCTTGCAACCACAGGATCAAGCCAGCCTCTAATGATTTTCCAAATGCCTAAAAATTGCTTGTGAGTTGGATCTAGCCTGAAATAGAAATCATAAACTGACCTTGGAACACCCATGGCGCCTTGTGAACTATAATTACCCCTAAGCATTCAGGATAATTCGCCTCAAAGCATTTTATCATAAATTTGACAGGTGCATAGTCCATGTTTGCCATCGAAAATCCAGTCATGTCAAAAAGAACAGACTAAGAAATCAGCTAAAGGTTGTCATAATCTATTAGATTACTTACCGCAGTATCCACAGGTGGTGCTAAGATCATGCGTGCAGTTTCAATTAGATATACTGTGTACTTTTCAAGACTTCCTTCGCCTTGTTCTCCTGTCTTGTGAAAACGTACTCTGACAATACATAGAGGTCTTCCATTCTTGTCAGTGCCGTGTAAAAAGCTTTTTCCTAATCGCATTTGTTCTAAAAAGTCTTTCCCTGACTTTTGTGTCTCAGGATCTGTGCTTTTAGAATCGTCAAAAGCTTTAAGTTCGCCGTTTTTTACTAATTCGTCGTCTACATGAACATCTTTTAGCCTCCATCTCATGGTAGATATAATCATAACCAAGGCTTTTTCAACGTTCCATTGCCTAGCACGTAGGAATCGAAGGAGTAATGCGTCTGGATTATCGTGCTTCACCATACTCCACATCGTATCCCTTAAAGCTTGAGGTGTCATGTTTGCTAGAGCTTCGTTGTATACATTCATCTGTCCAAATTTGTCATCCACATCATTAGCTGCTGATGTATTATCACTGTCCTCTTTGCTCTTACGAAAAAAACTCATCCGTTTTTTGGCAGATTTTTTAGAAGTGACAGCATCTTGTTTAGATCGAGCAGCTTCACTATCTGTAGTGGTAGAGGTAGATTCACTAAGATTTCCAAAAAGTTGAAATGCAGTGATCCATAGCTCTTTCAACTTCTCTTCTTGCTCCGTCGTCAGGTTGCCAGGACGACCGGGTAAAGCCTCTCCAGTCATAATGTTAGATTTACGAGAATAATCGACTAGCGGGGGATACTCGATCAATGTCTGATCCCCAAGTGAAATGGTGGTATTGCCAGGAGTCAATGTGAAAAGAAAAACGACGAATAATGTGACCCCAGAAAAAAAAATAGACCACGGATTTAGGGAGCCCTTAAGTAAGGAGACTGATTGGTTCTGCTCTTGGAATTCTTGTTTTAGACTGAAATTTGACCTGCCAATATTCGGGACAAAATACTTTGTTACCTGACTTTTGAAAAAATATGTTTCCAGCGATATTATTTGAACCCGCTTTACTGATGGGACGAATGTTGAGTTCGATCGTAAAATTTGGCCTGTATCAAATCGGCAAGGTAATGTAGAATTGGCAGCTAAACAACCAGTTATACTATTGTGTGAGTACCGAGATCTGAAGACCTAGGGATGATGTCAGATTGTTCTTTGTTATGACAATGATCTCACCCTTTTCATGAACGTGCAGGATGAGCTAAGGATGGGTGGAAGGATAGGCATCTTTCTAGCACAGATAAAAGGCTTTAGCTGATTTAGCCTAGACTGTATTTCGCCATCTTATCCTTATCGCATTCTAATAATTCTAATAATCCTGGTTTATTTTGACCAAAATTTGTGTAGCCTAATCTAGTGATCACCATGGGCTCAAACAAGGGGTCCATTTTTAGGTGGCTGAAAGCACATACTAACGTAGCCCAGGCCCGTGAGATATATTGCAAGAATCGCCTAGCCACAGCAGCCTCGCAAGATACAGTAGATTGTGGTTCAACTTGGGGCAACACTCCACTTTGCATCACACAATGTCAAGCTCGCCACCTCATGAGAATGATTCTAGTAAAAAGAGGTCCGAATCAAGAAAGCGTGAGCCGCTTTCGCGCCCAACAACACCTCTTCGAGCATCATCACGTCTATCTACTCGTGAGCTGAGAAAATCTAGTTTCAATGCTGGCTTTGGATTAGACCCTGAGGTGCTTGAGCCATCCCTCTCCGAATTATCAGATTCAATGGCAGACCTGGAAGCGAACTTCATGCATCTCCAGATAATGCACGAAAGTCTATCTCGTTTCAGCGAAAATTTCGCTAGTTTCTTGTACGGATTGAATATGAACGCTTTCTGTGTAGACTTTCCAGAGGTATTTCTAGAATGGTAATTTACTGGAATATTGATGAGTTTAATAAGAAAACAGGCACCAATAATAGAGTCTTTCCCCCGATCTCAAGATCATGAAGATCAAACTGGTATGTTTGATGTATTGTCGCACAGAGTTTTTTACAGAGAAGATTGACGATCATACCTCACCAGTTCGCCCAGTCACCCTTGAAAGCTCCTGTGGAGAGACGGATGGAGAGGCAACATTTTTGTAAGCCATTTCTAGATAATAATTAACTGGTTAATAACCAAATTTGAAGAACGACCGATACATCATTCGTTGACAATCCTCCTACAGCTCCACGTATAGTTCAAAAATACTCAACATCGAACCATCAAACGGGAGGCGTTAATCGTGGTGTTATCGCTTCAGAAGAAAAAAAAACGGCAAGAGGCAACCTTCGCGGGTATCGAGGTAGTGGTCTTGCCAGAGCAAAGCCACGAGGAGCGAGGTAGATACTAGATAGATATTTACTGCTTTCAATTACAGCTCTTTTGGTTTTGATTCCAAAAGCCATTCTGATCGGGGGAAAATCAGACAGAATATCTTTATACAGTTTCAGTTAGCTCCGCGTTCGCAATATCCATCTCGACATCTTCCATCTTTTCTTGCGCCAGCGAACGAGGTCCATTATCTGTCCTTAGCCCAATGGCTCCCTCAGCTTCTTTCTGGGTGTATGGCTCATCCTTTAGGGCTTTCTTGCGTCTCTTGTGAGTGCTTCCTCGTTTATGTGAAATCAATGCATGATCATCTGCGAACCATTTTGCACACTCAATGCAGTAAAACTGGCCCAATCCAGGTAGATCTTCAGCGACTTTGGTATTTATATACTGTTGAAGGTGTTTGGGCGAGCGTATGTCTTCCGAAATTTGATCCAAGTCTCTATTTTAAGGTTAGTTTATTTAAGTTCTTGTTCTTGATAAGTAGATGAGATTCCCAAGCACCTAAGGCGTCTTCGTGTTTTGGTCCTAGTGGACTTTTGTGGTATGCCCATAATAGCGTTCAAAAAAGCGTACAAGAGAAAAGAAGTAGCCTGGACTGAAAGGTCTACGTAGATTGTGACAACGTCGATTTCGCAGCTGAGATCAGCCTATTTAGAATTTGAAAACTCAACTTTATTTCGGGATTACAGGCTTATGGTCCGTGTGTGCAATAAAGGTGGGCCTGCTCTGTGTAAGAACCGAGTCAAATTTCAATATTGTGATTCGAATATTTGGTCTCATGGTGATTGACTTACAAGATTCCAAGGGTTCTTAGCGCAGACTTTCCCTCTGGCCATACATACACTCTGAGCAAAGTCCCTGATCGTTACTTTTTATACCTGAAATCATTCAATTTGTATGCAGCTTCCTAGCCATGACACTATATAGTGCCACCATTCCTGACAATTTTTGAATAATCCCATTTTACCCTTCTCTCTCATCTCGCTCTCGTCGCATACATTCGAAAGATTGACATCGAACTTCCGGCACTCATAGCAGCCGCCTGTTCAAAAAAAGCATCCCAATGCCATGTTGGACAATTGGAGAGTCCGCCAGAGGGCTCTCAATCAAACAACGAGCCTTGCCCAATCTCCAAGATTCGTGGAGATGGACAAGGCCTCAAGTAAATGAAGGAAAAAGCCCTTCCCACCGTCTCGGCGCCCCATACTGATATGATCGGTCTAGTCGAAATTGTTTAGAGGATCCCCCAACCTCCCTGCACCTCCTACAGGATAAGAAGACCTCCCAAATCTTCTCCGACCGTATCAAAACCGTCGGATAAGGCTGCACCAAATACGGCATCTAAACCAACGTCGCAGCCAAAGCTGCTACAAAAGCAGAACTTTCGCCCGAGCTTCAACCGTTTCTCGAGGTCGCATAACTTCGCGCCGCCATCTCTGGCGTCGAAGTAAAATTCCTCCTTCGGAATAATGGATCAAGTAGACAATTTGTAAACTGGATGAGAGTCTACCTACGCGCAGCCATTGCGCAAAACATGGCCTCGGGCCCGGCTTCTACGCTACCCGTCCTTCCTCCTCGCCTGGTGGAGCTTCCCTGAGGGCTCCTGACGCTAGGAGCACAAATATTCCCACAGTCCCCGTGCCGACTACAAAAGCACCTGGGATACTGTGGCAGGATGTGGACTGCAACAAAAAGCAGTCCCAATAGTGAAAGCTATGTTGGAACCTGCGGCTACAGCCCAAAAGAAAGAGGCTGTGAAGGCTAAGTGGACAAATAACTTTTCCTTACGTCTTGATGGCAACCACCCGTGGGGGAAATTGCCCCTCATGGGTATCTTATTCGCATTTTCGGAGCATACCACACGCGTCTCAATTACTACTAGCTCGATACACGGAATTAAGTCAAGTTGTCCCATTTTGGCATAAAACTACGAACAAAGACAAGGCCTCCTAGATGCCTTATCGAAAATGGCGAGTGTCAACGCCAAAATCGAGCAACTTTCTAACCATATCGTCTTCCGGATAGTTAATGTACGAGTGAACGTCCAAACAATGAAGCGCGCCAAAACGGTCGACGCATAGTGGGTCTCTGATAAGATCACTAGAGTGACCCTAGAAAAGCCGTTACAAGCGCGGTCATATATGATATGCCGTCCCGGTGCGCCTACTCGAAACTGGCAGTGTCTTGTTCCGCGAGAGCTCGCACCTCGTGCGGGCTTCCACAATTTTGACGAGTCTGGAATGAATACAAAGCTCCAGCCTCTTCACCAAACCAAGTAGTGTCGACGCTGCCTCGGCCACCACGCCACTTGTGGTTACTCCCGCGCTCCAGCCTGCTGCAACTGCGGATCTGACACGCACTCAGAAGCTGAGTGCAAGGCCCTCATTAAGTATCGCAACTGTGAGGGACCTCACAGATTAGATTCCCGGGCTGCCAAGCCAGACCTATAAAGTTCAGACCAATGACTAAAGAGCAGCTCATGTGGATCCGCCCGTCGAGCAAGGGAGGTTCGCGGATGTGGCACGAGCTCGGTCAGGACCAAAAGGGCCGAAGAGGCGATCATCACCTCAGCAAAGGAAGTCTCGATGGCCGAGGGATCAGGTTACGGAGCGCTGGAATCTGAAGAAAAAGCCTGAGGGAACAGCAACCTCGACGATGCCTCTCGTAGACATCTACTAACCAATAGCAGGACACCGACTTGATCAAAGGTTAACTAGATCCAACTTAAAGATTAAGTCTTGATTTGTTGCCAAGTGGATGAATCACGTATAAATACTTTGGATAGATAGTTTATAAGTGACCTGAACCGGAAGTGAGGACGGGCAGGCTCCATAGGAATTACATCTTCTAGTATAATCAATTATATTTCATCTACATCTACATCTACGGTTACATTAAATTTTCTTTGCAATACTCAACGTAAATTTACACATATCGACATCTGACAATCCAGAATTATTTTATGCCTCTTATCCGAGGCTACAAAGTCGATAAAAGGTGCTTGCTAACCCATCTTTTGCTCTTAGCGGAGATGGGGCAAGTTTATCATTTGGAAGGTGTGACGGACGATGGAATGTGCGAGGAGCGCATTGCCTGGGTCCAAAATGGAGGGATCTTCTGGCTTTCGGACTTGATTTGATTTTCGGTGCTTTTCGTTTCTGTTTAATCAGCTACACTTTGGCAGCGATTTACGAGGTTGGAACGAGCTAGGCTGTAGGAAGAATTACAGGAAAACCTGCCGGTTCAACTGGTCCTTCACCCATAGTGGAAATAGAGCTTTAGCTCAGGACCTATTGATTTTAATAAAAACAAAAACAACAACAATAATAATAATAATTACAGAAAAAGACATCATCATTCCGAAAAATCCGACCACATCAGATTTAGTTGATGTTATAGTTAGTATAATATAGCCGTCCACCTTTTTAAAGACAGCGGCAGTAAATTGAATGGCAATTTGATAGAAAACGGTGGCGAGGCTGACAACACGCCTGTAAATGTCGACGCGGTGTTGAAATAAATCAACAAGTTGATTAATGGAGAATCTCTGGTAACTAGAGTTTATGTTCAGGCTCTAAAAGAATCTGTTCAGATAATTGAAAGTCTACAGGAAAAAAAACCCCCACATTCCTCCCAAACCACACAAGCAGTTGAAACTCCAATAATGGCCAAGATACTACAGAAAGTCCTATCCATTAAAACATCCATTGCTCACAGCAATCTCCCCACTCGTATCCAGGGAAAGTCCTGGGCAGACGTCGCAAGTCAGCCGCAGTCAATAGGTAGCACAATAAGGATAAAAAGTGAACACTAAAAGAAGGAAATTACCAAACTCTCGAGTGAAGAGTTGGTGAAAAAGATTGGAATAAGGAAATAATTGGGGTAATGTCGCAGGGCATAAATTCGAGGTGCGTGGTTTGTATAAGAAATGAGTTGTGCGATGAGAGGGGAAGAGACTATCTAGCTACACGATGGTCTTTACAGGCTCCGTTATCGCTTAATCTCAAACTACGTCAACTACTATTCTACTACCATGACAGGTAAGGCAGCTGTCAAATGGACAAGTGAAAGTCTACTATACAGGACAAAAAACGAAAGGAATCATGGAGAAACAAAAGGAGTGGACGATAAAGTTAGCAACAACAGTGCAAATAAGCCTTTCTACCTACCAGGTTCTCGTGTACGATATGCCTCTATCTTCCAACCCCGAGGACCCTGAACAAGTTAAAGACTTACAAAAGGCAAATACTCTGTACATCTAAGAAATTGGGATAAAAAAAGCCGCTTGGCTTAAAAAGAAGAAACTACCAGGGAAAAATTCGGGCTCCATGATTGTTTGATTCGACGAGGCAGAATACGCTTATAAGACTATTGAGAAAGGAATTGTGTGGAATATGAGCTTAAAGCCACAGAAATATTTCGGTCGGGCTTCCGTATGATGCAGTGCAAAAACTGCCAGAAATACGGACACATCGCAAAGGCTTGCTCAGCGGACTAAAAGTATGGACATTGTGCTGGTGGACATAACACTCGAACATGTCCTGACAAACAAGATTATAAATGCATCAACTGCAGCAAGAAACACGCGGCATGGGACCAAGTCTGTCCAGTCAGGCTGGCGGCAAAGGCTAGAGCTATACAAAATAGAGTTCAAGATTCGGGAATATATGTGTCCCAAGAAACGTAGTCAATAAGTCCAGATAGCGACTGGCAGATAGTTGGCTCAAGAATAAGAAGAGCAGGAACGTCAATAATGGAAATTGCAGATCCAGTAGGCGAAACAACCACTCGCCGAGGTCCTGGAAGATCACGCAAAGTTTCTGCTCCTGCTACTCCCGACATCTCAGCTACCTGGGCTAAGCTAACACCGGCAGCTAACGTGTCAAAATTCTTCACACAAAGCAATACCCGGACTGTGACACGGGTCGCACAAGTAGAGATAAGCGATGCGTCAGAAGACGCCATGGAGTCATGAAGGGCACATCAATCCTAGCCATCCTACAGTATTACGTAAATAAGAGCAAGAATCGCGTACAAAGTCATTTCCTTCAAAGTCTAGATCCATTGGTTTTGTAAAATTTGGATTATTTTATTTTCTCCTATATAAGCAGGTCTAAATATATATAACATTTAGACCCAGTTTCTATCATATCCTTCCAACTTACTATGCGCATTCCCAACTAGAATTATTGAGATTCGTCTTATCTCCACCTAGCCCATACCACTTCCCAGTTAATAATTGGCACTTCCAACTTCATTGTTACTTCCAACTTCATTGTTACACAGCGAACTAAGAGCAACACCATGAGTAATTCTCATTACAACATGTACTAATTCAATAGATATTATGATATCACAATGATTGGAATATCAAGTGGTTGCTCTACAAGAACTATGGAGCCACTCTACCGAGCCAACCAACCTTCATCATCCGGCATACCACTTAATTCTTCCAGAAAAGCAAAAAATTAGAACCTATATTTATATAAGTAAAAACCTAGAGGTAAACAAGTGGAGAAAAGAGGAAGTCCCAGAAGGCACAAAATGAGAT